ACATTGGTAAAATATCTATTTAGGAGTCTTAGACCTTTCCAACGATATATAGTTTGTCATGATTGTAATAGATTAATTTTTGACAAGAGTGCACCTCAAAAATCTACATCATAACAGGAGTTCTGACCTTTGTCAAAAAAAGTCTTCTTTGTTGCCTTTTTCTCTATCACACTTTAGAAATCATCAGAAATTATATATCAATTGAAACCTTTAAATCTCAAAATTCATCCTTTGAAACCCATTTTAAATTCAAACATTGCATTACCATGAAAATGGTACATCAATATCATGTTACAAAATGTTTTAGTTCATAAATTATAAAAATTTAAGTTTGGATCGTGCACTTTCACGTCTATGTTCAAAAATGTGAGTGACAGTTAAGGGGTTAAAACATCAATAAGGAAAACAAATAATAATATTAATAATGTTATACTGTACTAATATTAATTATTATATATTTATATGTATTTAATATTAATAATGTTAATGTTTTATTTTTTTAATAACAATAATTGATTAATAATATTTTATTTTATAATGCATTATATATAATTTGTAATATAACCTTTTAATAGACAAATTAATATGAATGAAAATTAACAAATTAATATGAATGAATAAATACATATTTAATATAAATAATAATGTCACGTTTTATATGCATTATCAATAATAATAAAGACAACTTGAGTTATTAATATTAATAATATTCCTAATAATACACTATTAATACGTTACTTTTTAAATGATACTTTTTACATTTTTAAATGATAAAGTATGTAACTGATGGAAAAGTACATACTTTGTATCTCTTAAGTTTTTGGTTCTCTTCTTCGATCTGGAGCTGATACTTGGCGATCTCTGACTGGATAGAGCTGACATGATTTCCACTCTGGTCTGTGTCCATCGGCTCTTCCTGTGAACAGCAGAAACAGCAGTCTTTAAACAACCTTCATCATTCTGTCATTCCAGCATTTGACGCAGTCAGAAGATCTCACCTCTGTGAGCTGCGCCTGCAGTTCAACGATCTTCTTTTCATAAATCATCTTGCGGTCTGAAACAATGGCCATCAAGTTGAATCGAATCTCACCCTCGCTGTATCTGGATGGGTTCAAAAGCAGAAATGCTTTAATAAAACCCAGTTCTGTCAGGACCACTATCGTCAAAATGATAGATACTTAGCATAACGTTTGGTTTGGCGGTATGGTTCTGTTCTCGGCAAAAACCTCCCTGCCCATCCATGCAGCCTGTCATGAATGAGCAGGGAGAGCAGCAATAATAACCCCCCCTAGGGTTAACAGAACAGAACAAGGCAGATATCATTAATGTACTTAATGATATTTAAGTGTAACACTTTATTCAAGATAAAGGAGTCTGATTAGCAAGGAATATCAGAAAGCCAAGTCCTGACTGTGGCGAAAGGAGGAGCTGGGGATGGAGGAGGGTAATTTGCTCCGGAGCAAGCTGAAAAGCTGCTGAATAATACTGAATAGAGCTTATATAGGAATGCTGCGATAGGTGTCGTATTCCTATAGGTAGATGTGATCAGCTGAGAATCAGCTGATGCAAGCTTGACTCACGTGACCTGCCGGAACTAACGCTAACGCTTAATTTCTGTAGAAATATCAACTCAAATCACATTGGCTTGACGCTTACTTCTGTATTCTTTTCTCAATGACGGGCCGTACAGCACTGATCCAGTCATCCTCGTTACACACGCCTGTAAAATGTGACAAAATTATTAAAAACATAAACAAACTGATGAAAAACAAACGATTCAACATCGATTCCACCTACCTAGATCTATGGGTCCTTCACGAAGTCCGTCCAACTCATAAAGTCGGCCGTTAGCAGGAACGTAACTCACAAAATGAAAAGCGTCCTCTTCTTTAGCCGACGACTTTGCATCAAACTCAAACATCTGTTGTCTTTAGAAAAAAAAAAGCAATTTCTCAGTGTTATATAACACTTATTATATATTGTAAAAGAGAAGAAACCTTCATAAAAGCACATAGAAATAACCTGGCGAAGCTGTTGTGAACTTGTCGAATCACTTCAGAGTTACTGAGAGCAAGCCCCTTCATCTTAAACATAAACAAAGTCATATAAAGCAATAATAATGAAAAATACCTTTTAAAATAAAATGCGCGCCAACTTACCGCAGCATCAAAACTCTGCGAAAACTCTTTAAATTCTGTCAGCGTTTCCCCAAGGTGCATATCAGGATGTGTACAGTTTAACAACACGCTGACGATCGCTTGGGTCGCACAGGCATTATTGATGACCTGAAACAGTATGTTTGCGAATATTATTTTCTAGATATCCTTTTTGCTCTTAGCAGCAGTTTGCGGATTTGATGAAATTCGTAATTGTGCACCTGCTTGGTGAAGAAGATCTCCTCCAGCCTTGAGTCTTGAACTATAGACCCCGCTGGCTCCTCACCGGGTTGCCACTTGAAGAGGAAAATCAGACCATGAACGGGCCTGAAATGATTTACATGCATATTCAATTGCAGTTTAAACACTGGAGGAAGACTGAATATAATAACTGATTCAAGGGTGTTGCTTACTTGAGATTTTCAAAGTTTTCTGGCTCCATGCTCCATATCTCTTCGACCTGTGCACCTTTGCATCCTAATGACAACAACAGAGACATCAATGTCGCAAGACTTTCGAACAAACCAATGCTGAACTGAGGATTCAAAACTCTCAAACGATGCCTAAATAATGTTTAAATGCACCAGTATGAAGTCATTTTAAAAATCCTGAACCTAATGTTTGATTACACCAATGATGATCCAGAAACATTTAAACATACTAATAATGCTTGGAATGTGCAAATATACTGAATCAATTGTTCAAACACTCTTTTTATGCACACAAAATGATCAACTACATATTTTAAACGTGCAAATGATGTCCAAATATACTGTGACAAATGTTTCAATGCACCTTTAATGTCCACAAAAAATATAAACAGAATTTTTAGAAGGTGCAAATGATGGCCAAACATACTGAATCAAATGTTTGAAGTCTACAAAAAAATATGAATTGAATGTTCGTAACGGGTAAACGACTCGCAGATATATCGAATCTATGGTCGCATGCATATCCAAAGGAAAATGGACTGAACGTTTAGAACACGCAAATGATGTCCACTTGTAATGAATCAAATGTTTGAGGGAGTCTTGACATAAAATGAATCGACTCTCTGGAACTTGCAAATGCTACTCAAACACTGAATCAAATGTTTGAACGCATACTGTCCACATGAAAAACGAATTCAATGTTCACAACACGTATACTGAATCAAATTTTCCAATCAAACGTTTGCGGGAAACAAAATGAAATGGAATTCTCAGAACGCTGAATCGAATGTTCGAACGCAATATGATCCCCACAAAAAATATGAACGTTCAGAACAAGCAAACGATACCCCAAAGCACCTCAAAGACATTGTAGGAAAGCATCTATATAATGTCCACAAAAATATGAATCGAATGTTCGGAACTTGTCCAAATATACTGTGGTCAATGATCGTTAGTAAGGAACCACCAATGCTGACAGAAATATAAATCGATTGTTTGGAACGTGCAAATAAAAGCCTAAATATACCGAATCAAATGCTTAGAACATACATGATACAACACACGCTGTATCTTGTTTTCGGAAGGCATCATAAATTATAATTAATCTAAATTATGATTAATGTAATCGATTAATCGTCATTGTTGTTGCTTCTGAATGTTTGATTCAGTATTTTGGGGGGTATAGCCCCCAAATTACTGAATCAAACATTCAGAAGCAGCAATAATTAAACGAACTTTGTTCAAAGGCACCAATAATGAATACAAAACGATGCTTGTTCCGATGCCCAAATATGATTCGGAACACACATGATGCCCAAAAAACGCCGTCTAGGTAGGCTGCTCACTACTTTTTGAGCCACGTTCAATGACATTTATACGGTACACAGGTTCAGAACAGCAGAAATGTGAGGCAGCTGTCATTCTGCATTAATTAACAAGTGCAGCGCTGACTCATGCGCAGAGCCCGTTCAATGAATTCAGCCAATTATATGGATTTACACCACATTGCAGGCTGGTAATCAAACCCAATATAAACTACAAATCATACTGAAATTCTAAAGCACTGAAATGAAGCAAAACTAGCGCACTCACACGCACCGCTAATGTATGTAATATAGAGAACTCACCAAAGCCCTTTATCAGCTCTGTGAAAACTCCAGGGTCGCTTTCCATAAGACACCATTCCCCAGCGCTTCCCGCCATTTCTGTAATTATGTTTCTTATTGTAAACAGAAAATTGTGCTCGAGTAGCGGTTAGACGAGGCTAATGGGACTCGTTCACACATACAGTAGTTTTCCCGGCATTCCTTTCGACGGACGTCATTCTTCTGCTTCACGTGGTGCCTTAGAAATGTGAGGCGCTTCTGCCTCCACGTGTCCAGGAGCGTGTTCGAGGCGAGCAGGTCTTTGCCTTTTTTTTTATTTAATTTCAAAATTAAAATGTTACAAAATGATTTAACAGGGCTTCAGAATAGCAACAGAGTTGACAGTTTAGTTCATGTAGACATTATGGGAGCCCGTTTCAAATGAATGAATAAATTAAATATTTCCTCGCAAATCTGCATTTATATTTGACAATTCAAAAATGTGAGGTCAGAATTCTGAGCTTATAGCTCACAGTTCTATATTCTGAATTGCAAAAAAGTCAAAATTGTGAGACATGAACTCAGAATTGCAGGAAAAAGTGTCAGAATTATGAGATTAAAAGTTACAATTACCTTTTTAATTCTGAGGCAGAAACAGGCGTTCATACATCACTGCTCAAAGTCAGAAATATTTATTAGTATTAATAATCAGTATGAAAAATAAGGTTTTATTTCAAACCAGTGGGTGTTTGTGCGTTTACATCAGAAAAATGAACACTTCAACATTTTTGCAAAAGACTTTAATACTTTATTTTAAATAGTTATGTACATAAAGGAATACTGAGGTTTTGTAACTCAGATCAAATAAAGTCATCTAAAATGCTTGGTGTAATACCATTTGATATTATATTTTACAAGAAAGCATACCGTGCATAACAACCCCAAACTAACAATGCTCATAATGTCAATCATTCAGGAAAGTATTTTTCCCCCCGACAGCAGCATACGTATTAAAACACATCTACTTAACCTCTGTTTGGGCTGTTCACGGGTGACCAACGAGTATGAACACATAATACAAAACATTATGACTGATTATGTTGATACTGAGCATTGCCTGAGCCCTCAGGGCTGGTACTCAAACAGCACGGCCTACACTGTTCAATAAGAGGCAGAAGTTTCCCTTGCTGGTGGAGCTGCTTTGTATCTGTGCCTCCTCCAATGCACTGCCCGTTAATAAAGACTCTTGGCACCTGAAGGAGTTAAAAGGGTTAAGGTCAACAACACTATTTTGGCAAACACAATAAATCTAATCGTGTGCATAATTCTAATCAGCATCCAGGACTGTAAATGTTTTATAAACATAAATAAATTACAGGACTTACTGTTCTGGCACCTGTCATTTGCGCTAAGGTCTCCTGGAGACGTCCACCATCATTGTGCTGATCCAGTTCAACAACTTTATATGCAGCTCCGATCTCTTTAAAAACATTCTTCGCCATCTTGCAGTATGGGCACGTGGTTTTGGAGAATATCACAACACAGTTACTGGACACAACCTCCTGTATAAAAAGATCCAGGTTAATAAATAAAAACAGATATTGAAGGCATAAGATACATATATGAAATCAGCTTTTGATTTTCCTGATAACAACTGCTGATGTGATAGAAATGTGAAGAAAACCTCCAGGTCTGCTTTGGTTGTTGTTTGTAGGGCAAAATTGATGTGATAATGTTTCAATATGATTTAAAGATACTGTTGTTGCTATTATTAACAACAATCATAATAATAGTAAAAATACATTCAGTTCAATTCAAGTTTATTTGTATAGCGCTTTTCACAATACAAATCGTTGCAAAGCAGCTTTACAGGAAATTAAGTTTCTACAATATATTTAGTAGTAGCTTATCAGTGGTGAGGTGACTATGTCAAGCTGATGTACATATGGCAGAAATGTATGACGTACAAATGACGCAATCAAACAGACGATGAACACTATTAATAGCAATGATTATATGATGCAATCAAACTTATAGCAAAATTATGTATGTATTATAATATTGTATGTATATGCATATTTTATTATTATTATTATTAGTAGTAGTAGTAGTAGTTTTATATAAAATATTTTTAAAATAAATGTTACTATTGTAATATTACAGTGTAACATTTTGTAAAATTGTAAAAATAACCATAAAATTACAATACTAATATTTATGGCTTAAACTACTGATCTTTTATTTTGAAGGAAAACGTTGGGTAGGCCTTAAAGCTTCTCTTTTGTTAAAAATAGCTGGTTATAAACACTTCTCATTCCAAATATCATTCACTGCAAACTGAACTGCTCTGAGACGCTAAAAACACTGGATTATGAGCTGCTCGTGTGTAAAAGAACACAGTGCCATGCTTTACTCTGACACATGCAGCGCATTTTTATATTATAACTAAATCGTAGCCTCTGCAATCTGATAATTGCACTAAGCCATATAGCGCTTCTTTTATTTATATAATACGTTTTATTCTGATCAATCGTGCTGCCCTAATGTATGTAAACACTGAAGAATGTTGGTAACAAAAGTTTTGTTTCCCTCCGACTTCCATTGTATTTTTAGTCCATACAATTGAAGTCAATGGGAATAGAGACTTGTTTGGTTACCAAAATTCTTAAAAAAAAAAATGATGCAACATGAGTAAATGATGACAAATTCTTCAGTTGTTATTCTCATTCGTGAATCAAATTAAGTTAAACCTTTTCATTTGATCCAGTTCACAACAAAAACAAACAAAAAAACTCTAAATCATTAATTCACGTATCTTTCTGATCTGGGCTGTGTGGAATTTTTTAATTTCACAGAAAAAGACAGTCATACAGATTCGAATCGACATGACTGAAAAAAGAAGTCAGACTAATTTTCTGAATACTATGAACCAAAACAAACCAGTACAAGCTTACCTGGACAAGCTGAGTACACGCTGAGCTTGACAACCCAGGCGCTGCCGACGTGAAATTCCCCATTCTACATAAACGACACGAAATTAGGTTCAAACTGAGGGGGAAAAAAACTCAAAACAACAACAGACTTAGATCAACACACAATATGACCTTGTTATAATCACTGGTCTGTAAAAAAGACATGCTGAAGATACAAGGAAAGCAAACGCAGCTAGTGCAGATACAAGAGAATTAGACTGGCAATTTAAATCAGTCATGTTGTTTAGTTGTCTAGTCCCAACTGAATAACTAACTAACAAGGATCTCACTGCTAGACTGTAATCTGATCAGATCACACAGGGGGGATTTAAACAGTTAATGACCCTAAAATCAGCCTATGGCTTTTGTCTCCTAAAATAGGATAACGTTGTACCGTCCAGAACGGAACAAACGCAACGGCGGTGTTGATTTCACCTACTGTTTATTTCAATGTAAACAGGATAATGTTAAATTATATTATCTAATATTAATTATCCTCATAATGACCTTAGAGTCTGGTAAGCCTGTTTGGATTTGTAGAAACATCCTCTCGTAAACATTATTGGAGTGTAAATAACGACAAGCACCGCGTAATAAATAAAAAGCCCTCCTAAGACAGTAACCGGTTTTACATAAAACCCCCTTTTTCTTCTATTTTGCTACAAAGTCCAAAACACAGGCGTACCTCTTAACCGGAACCACATTGATATGACGTAGAAGCCCCGCCCTCCACGGGTCATCTGAATACTTTGCTGCCAGCCTGTGTGGCTGCGGTTCTGAAACTGCTGGTGCTGCGGGTCTGCAGCTGGATACTATTGGGGCCTCTCCTGATCATTGAACATTACGAGACACAAACTTGTTTTCCTCTAGGGGGACACAGTGGCTCAGAACCCCGAATTACCATGATTTTGTAGCATTGCAGATATACTGTATGTGCACACTAAATGTATGCATCCTATATTTTTAATATAGGCCTATTAATTCAGAAGACAGGCACCTGACATGCAAACAAATTATGCCTAAAATGCCTCACCCGTAAATCACATTGGTTCACCAGCGTTGAGAAAAGTAACAGATATCAGGTTACACTGAAAATAAGTCTATGTGATAATGTGGCACACACAAACCTTAACATCCAGTAACAGTAAGAGTACATTTCCTCACATTTATCATGTCACGTCAAAGTCCGAGACTTCCAAACCATTAGCCGCTGGAAGTAAACAAATAGAAGGAAAAAATGCAGTGAACGGTCACAGTTTGAGCTACAAACCAGTGTGTTTATAATTGCGACATTACATTAATATGATAAGAAAAACCAGTTTGCGGTGGGTATCAAGCAGCATAACGAGCTGTTTTGTAGAGATAAATAAAAGCGGGTGACACCGTAAGCGACTCGCATTCAAATGGCCGCTCCCACTCTCTTATGTTAAAAATAGAGGGTATAGAGTTTGTCCAGTGTTTTGGAAATTTTAATGTGTACATCATCTTTGTCCTTCAAAGTTAGGCTTTTTTTTTGTTTTAAATCTGAGAGAACTGTCATTTTGCATCCATAGGGTGGCACTATGCTATTCTGTAAAATGCATGACATAGAACCAACGCAGGATTTTGTTTTAGTTATCCTTTTTTTTTTGTCTGTTTCCCCATTTTATGACAAGTGATTTAATGCTGCTCCCTAATCTCTGGTTTTCACAAAAGCTGCCATATTGCCGTCTGCAAGAAAAAGGCAATTGATTTTTCTACCCCGCTAATCCTTATGAATTAACCAAAAAGAATTAAGGCTGTTCTTGTTACTTTTTTAAAACAACAACATGATTTATCCATCTTATGGTTATTTTGTCAACAATAAATGTTCTGAAAACCCCAAGGATGAGGAATTTAATATTACATATTACAGCACAAAACTGGCCGTAAAATTGTTCTATAGCCTGAGGTTGCGCCTTTCTCTTTCAGCAGAGTTGAAACAAAAATAAACTTTGAATTATTTATTGCTTACATATTTTAAAGTTTAATGGCTTGAATTCCATACTCATTAATATTGTTAAAAGAAGATGAGCAGTGTGTCTTCACCTTTCCGTTTTTTTTTTGTAATAATACTTAAAGGGGTCATATGATGCTGCTAAAAAGAACATTATTTTGTGTATTTGGTGTAATGAAATGTGTTTATGAGGTTTAAGGTTAAAAAAACACAGTATTTTCCACATACTGTACATTATTGTTTCTCCTCTATGCCCCACCTTTCTGAAACGCATCGATTTTTACAAAGCTCATCGGTCTGAAAAGCGAGGTGTGCTCTGATTGGCCAGCTATCCAGTGCATTATGATTGGCCGAATACCTCAAGCGTGAGACGGAAATGTTATGCCCCTCACGTACTGTTGATGCCGTGTCCGGCCGGAGCGACGAGACAAAAACATTAAAACCCATTACAAACGAGGCATTTATTGTATCCAGTGGGGACATAATTACTGATTATAATGACTTATACTGTCTTTTTACGCGTTGCGTTGCATTGCGCCGCGTAAATATAAATGTGGGGGCGTGTTAGAACGAGCTGTTTTAGGTAGGCGTGGTTGACTCTGAACTTTTATAAAGAATATTTCTTTGGATTTGAGACTTTAAGGCTGATTTATACTTCTGCGTCGGACCTATACCGTAGCCTTTACGCTGTAGGCTATGCATCAGTTTTCATTTATACTTCTGCGTCGGTGTCCGCGTCAGCGTGCAGTACACATGCAAACCGCTAGTCAGCAGTGTTCACGGGCATGTTGCTGGTGTAACCCGCAGTACCACGGCAAAAGCCGAAGAAGAAGCAGCTCGTCGGAGAAGCATTATAGCCGTGACGGTGGCAAATAAATATCAAATCATTAAATCATTATTTAAAACTACAAAAAGGAGACAACAACGGAACAGGAGATGATGGCATTCTTTCAATCTGCACAAGGACTTGTACCACGGCAGATCAACATTGTTGCGGACAACTACTGATGTATAATGCTATGTAGTATAATAAATGATAAGACACTTGTTCTTTGCTTTGTTTTATTTAATATAAGAAGGTGTAACATTAAAATATATTAAAGTGCACATAAACACACACAAAACTCAAGTACATATGGAGGGAGGGGTTCTTGCAGACCAATCACAGCACTTGCGGTCTGCGTAGAATAGACGCGCTGTTAGATTTTTGGAGAGGTGCACGTCAGGCTACGGCGTATGGGTGTGCGTCTATGCGTAAGCTACGGCGTAGGTCCGACGCAGAAGTATAAATCAGCCTTTAGTCTTTGCAACTTTACAGATCTTCTTTATGCACCAAGAGCTTGTAACACTCGAAAGAGAAAGGAAAAATTTAAATCGCATCATATGACCCCTTTAAGACACTTAAGGAAAAGTTAGTTTGTTGTCTTAAATTTTCAAAACCTGTCCTTGCTTACTTAAAGGATCTCTGTTGTGATTCACTGCCATTTCCAACCAGGAATTCAGTTCAGTTCCTATGAAAGACCTATGTGTGTATATAATGAGAGAATGAGAGTCCAAACAGCTGATAAAAGGATAATAATAATACACATGATGCCAGTCCATCAATTAACATCTTGTGAAGAGAAAAACTGTGCGTTTGGAATAAACAAATCCATCAATAAGAGGTTTTAACTGTTGCTTCTGACCAAAATATGAGATCAAAATCCATAATTACTCTTCCTCAAGTGAAAGGCCATAAAAAGTGTTTTCCTCTCACGTCAAAATCCACCAACATATTTGTTTAAAACTGTTTTGGACTGTTTTCACTTGTAAACAGTGCATTATCTGTTCATGTTTCGCTCCTGATTCATGACTATTTCACTGGAGGAAGCATAGAGGACTCGTTTGAAGTAAAAACGTCTTAATTTGTTTCTTAAAAACACACAATGTTTCTCTTCATAAGATGTTAATTGATGCACTGGAGTCATGTGGATTATTGTGATGTTTTTTTCTTTCCTTCTGCTGTTTTAACTCTTATGCTGATGGCACCCATTCACTGCAGAGAATCCATTGGTGAGTAAGTGATTTAAAGGGATAGTTCACCCAAAAATGAAAATGTTGTCATTAATTACTCACCCTCATGCCGTTCCAAACCTGTAAGACCTTTGTTCAGCTTCAGAACACGAATTAAGATATTTTTGATGATATCTGAGAGCTTTCTGACTCTGCATAGACAGCAAAGCAACTAGCACATTCAAGGCCCAGAAAGGTATAGGATACCGGCTCCTGCGTCAACAGCACCACACACATGTTGAAGACTGACACAGAAGAGAAGAATTGTTGAATAAAGTCGTTATTTTTGTTTTCTTTGCGCACAAAAGTATTCTCGCTTAATAAAATTAAGATTGAACCACTGATGTCACATGGACTATTTTAACAATGGTGACTACCTTTCTGTCCATAAAACGTTTCAGTTGCATTTCTTTCTATGCAGGGTCAGAAAGCGTTCAGATTTAATAAAAATAGCTTAATTTGTGTTCTGAAGATGAATGAAGGTCTTACCGGTTTGGATTCACATGAGGGTGAGTAATTAATGACATAATTTCATTTCGGTGAACTATCCCTTTAATGCTACATTTCTTCAAATTTGTACCAATGAAAAAACAAACTCATCTTGGTTGGCCTGAGGGTGAGTAAATTGTTCTATTTTTGTGTGAACTTTTCCATAATGATAGCCTAAATATTAACGATGACTAAATATTTTGCTGGTTTGCTGCATGTCTAAAATGTTACTAATAGACCTGTGGGGCCACAAAGCCCAGAAACCTCTGACCATGATCAATAATTATTAGTTATCTTCTCAATTAACACAAAACCTACAGGCTTTTATAGTGCAAATGCACACTCTCTTTTGCGCCACACATTTGCCCTGTTCCCATCTAGCGATTATCAAGGGTCCATGTAAACCACATGTCAGTAATGGGAAAACCCTCCTTAGTATTTACAGTCTCATGACAAGTAATGATCGCCATACAACGAACTCATCAAAACCGCTGGAAACGCAATTCCCCACCCACACTGAGAGAAGACGCCCCTTCCCTTGCCCACGCTCCCTTCAGCGCGGTGTCATCGGAATATGCCCCGCTGATTTAATATCTGTTTGCTGCATGCATTTGCGGGCAGCCATGTAATCAAGCAAGAAGCCACTGCTGCGGCTGCCCTCATAAATCACCGTCCCTGGCGGACAATCATGCCTGGCTATATGGAGGCAGGCACTAGTGAAGCCACTGATTACACTCACTGCCTTATTAAAACCCTTCCCGCCAACTGAAAGGTGCACGTCTTTTTATTTATCGGCCTGGTGTCATTTGCGGACGCTCCGTATTTCGCTCTTAAATGATTTGGCGCGGTGATGGAATGACGCCTCAATTGAGTTCACATGAGTAGAGGGTGCAGTTCCAATAATCTCTCGAGTATCGCCTCACTGAACTGCCCGCGATTCCTCCTTCCTGTCAAAGCCAACTAACGTCTACTCCTGACAAAGGTACAACAGACTCGTCTTGGCAATAAGCTGTGGCATTTTGTTAGAGAAGGTTACTGCACTTTGTCTCACAAGGGCTTGTCTCAAAGGCCGCATCTTGCACTTTCAGGTGGGCTTTAGGCTTTTACACTTGACAGACACCAGGGCCGTAGCTGATGGGGTGAAAGATGGGTGCAATTC